GTGGTATATTTAATTACTAAGATATTTTTGTTTAATTATTACAAACTCGTTTTTATCCTTGTTTGCAGGGTGTAATGGCTAGGGTGTATGAAACAGTTACTGTTCTTTGTTTGCTGGGAACGCTTGTGTTAGGAATGACATACGTTCTATCAGCACTTATAGACCATCAGAAGTCCAGTCTTCATACTTTGCTCAGTAAGTGAGTTGGAATGAATAGTTTTGTTTGTCGGGGGAGCCATTGTAATAAGCGTATTTCATGTTACAGACTTGTGGACTTACTATTTACCTTTCCTGTATTCTTGCGTTTCCTTCGTCGGTGTTGTCATGTTGCTACGTAAGTGTAACGTTGTTACTCGAAAGAAGTAATGAAATAATCAAAGCAATAGAATATTTGAAATCTTGTTACAGTATGCACACCTATGGGATTTGTAAGATTATTTGGAGTGGTTGGCTCTTTCCTTGTGAAGCCGCAGTTCCTAAAGAACTTGGACGAAGAGTTCTTTGCGTACAGATTAGAAGAGGATTGTATTAGAAGAAGGTCAGTTCTCGGTTAGAACTTTGATCGTGAAACGATGGATGCCTTTTTCTTTATATATTTATTGAATGCACAGATTGGAACATGCAAAAGCAACGGGAAAATCGTACGTTTCTCCAGTACCGATGTCCATACCAGCGTGTGGTTCGGTGCTCGAAGATGAAGAACTTTTTCATGTGAACCCGAGCCTAATGTGTTTAAGGAATGGTGCTCTGCAACGTGGATTATCACAGCGATTAGAAGATATTCAAAAACGAAGAAAAATCTTGGATCAGCAAAGGCGAACCTGGTGGGTTCGCCGCACTTTGCTTTACCCTTTGGCCATGTTAGCCTTACTTATACTTTCCACTGCCACAGCCCTCTTAGCTGTTCAAAACACCTTAGAACTACTTATTGGTATAAAGGCGCTACCTCTAAGTACCAGGGTTTGTATTAATTTCTCTAAAAAGTTTCAAGTAATATTATTCATGTTTGAACTCGATAAATAAAGTATGTTACGTTGTTTTGTTCAGCAATTTACTCTAGGTATTAGTTCGTTATCGAAACTTGGCCCTATTGGAGCAACAATAGAAGTGGCAGTGATATTATATTTGGCAGTAACAAGCGCAATAGGCTTGTACACGCTTCCAGGGGTTAGAAGAGTTCAACCACGGTTTCATTCCACGCCTCTTACACACCTTATCGCAAATTGTGCCCTACTTCTTGTCTTGAGTTCCGCGTTGCCGCTGTTGTCGCGGATATTAGGTAGGTTTGCTGGTAGTTCTAAATATTATAACTAAAAAATTTTTCGATTACTGACAGCTATTTATATATTCATAATAGGCATGACGAACTTTGACTTGCTTGGCGATTTCGGGCGAATCGAATGGCTTGGTAATTTTAAACTAGTATTGTTCTACAATTTAATATTCGCTACGGCAGCGATCACTTGTCTTGCGACGAAGTTTACAGCGACGGTACGCAAAGAGATTTATGCGAGATTGAGAAGCAGTTTTATAGGAATTTTTAGAAGCGAAGGTAAAAGAGGTCCCGTGGGAATGTTCTCTACGAAAGAAGACTAGACTGACTTACACTGTAAACAAAGAAGATATTTAGAACTTAGCATTAAAAGAGTAAGTAAAGACAGACAATTGTGTTTGCATACTATTAATATTGGAAATGAAAGATGTGCGAAGTTGCGGTGATATATATATATATGCGCGTGATGTGAAAGGACTAGAAGTTCTATTTAAAGTTGTAATAATGGAATGAGTTTCATGAATGGGGAAAAAGTTTAATTGGACTTTGATTGATATTTAACGAGGCCAGTTAATGAATATCCTTCGTGACATTTTTATGTTGTCATACATCTCTATGCGTGTGCGTGTGTGTGTTAATAGTTATATTAATTATTTATTATATCGTCGCTATTTTAATAATTATTTAGCGAAAGTACACATACCATTTTTAAGTGAGTTAATCTATGTTAATTCACAATAGTGACAACGCAATATTGTGATAAAGACACAAACCGTGTGCACGTATCCAGTGACTACACAAATTATAATCGTAGAAATTAATGAATGTATAGACACGCATGTATGTATGTATGTACGCGCGTACGTATGTGTGCAGGTACGCATTCACATATGTACATACATGTAGTACATACACATCTTACGGATACTCCTGTTATATAGCTGACATACAGAATTATTCGTGTATATTCTACAGAAATCAGCTATAAGGTCCAAATCATTTCCAAGTAAATCTCGAATCACCTCTTCGTTCAGCAATACTTCTTTTCTATGGAAAAGTATATTCATTTAATCGAATAGAATAAAAATTTTGATACTACACTTATTATTTCTGTGTGAAAACAAAATTGTTCGGCTTCTTCCTGAAACTATATTTATTTCCTAGAATATTAGTCACCACCAATTAATTAAACTGAAGATGCATAGGCTTTATTTACAACTGCACTTTTATCAAAAATATTGTTATAGACAATATGAAATGTTTAATTAACACTCGCATCAAATGAAGTTGCATCTTTGTTAAAGAAATACATAAATCTATACATACTGATATATGCAAATATGATTACACATATACTGTGCTGTGTATGACAGTCTCATTTTAGTAATTGTGTTTAAATGCATTTTATTGATTCTTTGTTAAGAACTTTAAAAATAGTGCACTCGTAATATTAGGAAAATAAATAATGCGCATTTCGAAGTGCATATAGACTGCATAATGATAACACGCAGAAAATTACAATGTTATCGTCTCGACTGATTCATGATTTATTAGTTTATTATTGAATGCTAGCCTTCTAAATTAAGTAAATCATTTATTTACTTCACTCTGACTTTCAGCTCTTGATTGTGTTTAATATTTACATTATAACATTCGTCACATTTATTTAACAAGTAAACAAATAATATTTTACAATAATATATTATGTGATATATATCTCGTCAAGAAGACAATACAATGTTGTTAGACTTTGCACAGGCAATGATGTACTCACCGATGAACTATTAACAAATTTAATTAGAGAGATACCTCAGAATAGAAATTATTGCTTAATATTTGTTACTATGATACCACTTTGTGGTCTATTTGTAATGAATTGAAATTCTCTATTGAGAGTTTCCTGTACACGGATACTAAAATAAATAAAAGATTCTTTAATTTGACCTCTTTCACATGGCATAAAGAACTTTAATAATTGCTTACAATCTAGAATCTAAGTTTGTACATATTACAATATTATCAATAAATGAAGATTAAAACATAAATAAATAATAAATTGTATTATTATTAAATTTATTGATCTCTAAAAGTTTCTGTACAGCATAATAAGATATGCATTATACTTTATTGGACTCGAGTTCTTGGAGCTTGAAATATTTTAGTACATTAATTAATGGCTGAGCTCCTGTTCCAAAACGTACAATTCTGTAATACTCTGGAATTGATAAGTCAACTATTGTAGACCCTGTTCTACTTCCAGAGGTGGCTAAACTACCTTGTGTAACAAAAATTCCATCTAATACGGGCCATAAATTCTGAAATTCTTCTGCGTATAAACAGCTTTTTGCATTGCTTACATTAGCACTTGTTAGTGCTAAAGGTCCAACAATATGTGACAATAGTCTTATAAATTTGTGGTTTGGTACCCTTATGCCTACAGTATCAGTATCAGGATTCAGATTTTTATTTAAAGCTGGTTTTCGTTTTAAAACAATTGTGTATGGTCCAGGCAACATTGTGTTTATTAGATCAGTAGGTAAATGATCAGTGACACACAAGTTAGGTATGTGCTGTACATCGCTGACACAAACACATAATGGTTTGTTCATATCTCTTTTTTTAATTTGATATAACCTTTTGATGGCATCACTTTTCGACGCGTCAACAGCTAAACCATATATTGTGTCAGTTGGAATTGCTATAACTTTACCTTCTTTAAGCAATTGTATAGCTATTGCCGCACTTCTTTTTCCTTTGCATATCCATAATTTGTTCTCCAACTGATTTATCTCCATTTTAGCACCTTGAACAGATCTTGCCATTGGACCAACTAATATATCTGGCAATGTCGTTTTTTCTCTAAATATTATGTTGGCATTCTGTACATTTAAAATAAAAACTATCTTAATTCTTAATCACATTCTCATCAGCGATATTGTAATACTAAAGATGATGAAAGACATTACAAATTACAAGAATTTATATCTAAATTCGTCTAATTTATTAGTAATCACTTAACGTACCCTTAATCGCGCCAATTGTGACCACATTGAGGGTTGCAACATTTGTAAAATGTTGTCATCGGTTCATCAGCAGATCGTGTTTGTATTTGCATGAAATATGCCCGAGGATGGGCACACTTTGGACATCTTTCTTCCGTGGAGTCTACGTTTTCCCAAGCTGCAGTTCCACCTAACACATCGTCCACTTCTTTAAGTTTTGGATACGTTCGACTGCTAATTCTTCTTGATATATTAAAAATATAAGGACACGTATTGCACGCGAACCGCAATCCAGCCAAGGCTTCTTCTACCCGAAGCACATTACCACAAGTCGGACAGAACATTAACATCTTATTAGTATCCGTGTAATTGGTCCATCGAGGGAGCGGATGTGATGTTAATTACAAAAAAATAAGGAAAATTTAGTTTGTATTTACTGTCGTTTGAGATAAGTAGTGTTATTCGTTATAGTTTTCAATGATTGGAATTTACTACATGTGACTAAGGAACATACGCATATTGCAACATGTTTCGACTACTTAAACAACACGCACAATTCATAAATTACTGAATAACAATCATTTTTAGAAATAAAAGGAATATTGATTTATCATTTTAATTGTAAATTTGAACGATAAATTAGTTTTTTCATGAATTTAAACATCAACTTATATTTTACATGTGTACGCGCCTTAATAAAATAACGCAAATGATGTTGAAAATACATCGTGATGATAGATTCTTATTGATATATGTGTGTATGTAGTATTTATAAGTTTCATAGTGTTTTACTCTTTTTAAATAAAAAATGATAAAACATCATGTTAAACGCTAATTCATAGAAGTAAACAATTTACTTGTAAAAAGAAAATGGAACGACATGAACTTTACGTATAACTCAAATAAATAAATTTCGGTGAGTAATGGATAGTGAAGAAAGGTTATATCTGGACTCGTTGCTTACACATGTGTTGATAATTTGAAACATTTTCATATAATTGTATTGTTATAAATAAATTTCCATGATCCTTATGTTATAATAAGATCTGTTTATATCTCTGCCAGTTCTCGTA